TACTATTAATAGGCCTGCTCTCTTTTTATTACTATATAACTAATCTATAACCTATTTTCTTATAAAGGATAACTCCCTATATAAGAATCTATATAATAATAAGCTACCTAATATAGACGTATTTACCCTTAATAAGTTATATTTATTTATCTTATTTTATAGTATTATGCCTAACTTTAGTGTAGCTAAATATTTAATAGCTAGATATAAGTAGTATCTTGCCTTTTACTACTAAATAAAAGGAAATCTAGCTATAAATAAGTTATAAGTAGGTAAAGTAAAAATCTACTTTAGTAGTAGTAACTACTTTAAATTATAAGGGGTAATTAATATACTAACCTCCTTTAGTATGCTAATATTCTATATAATACTATTAAATACCCTATTTCTACTTTACTTTATAGATATAGATTAGTATAGTATTAAATTTAATAACCTTACTAATAAGCTAATCTAAGGCAACACTATTATACCTACTGTCTATAAATAGGGCTATATATAGATACTACTTAATTAACATAAGTAAAGTATTACCTACTACTATCTTATAGATATTAAGTTATAGTAAATTTATTATTACTTTAGCTACTTATTAGTCTAAAGGCTTTATTACGTCCTCTAATAATCTAGTAATAAAGTTAAGATTATAGCCTTAGAGAAATTAACTAAGGTCTACTACTACTACTAGATAAATATAAAGGCGCCTAGTTACTTTAAATTTACTTTATATAATAATAAATATAACTTTAACTATAAGATTATTATTAATATTATTTACCTTAATAGTAACTACCTAGCCTTATATATAGTTAATACTATAATATCTTTCTAAGCAGCCTATTTACTTAAAAACATTACTATAAAGTATATATAGGAGGCACTTTAGATATACTAGATTAATATCTACCTTAGCCTACCTAACTAGATTATTACTAATACTAGCCTAAACTTTTATACTAGTAAATTTAAGTAGTTAGTAAGGTTACTTTATATTAATATTAAAGAAATACTAATTAAAGCCTATAATAGTATTAGTAAGGTTAAAAGATACTATATACCCCTCTAATATATATATAATATCCTCTATAGTAAGGGCTATACACCTAAGGCTACCTTTTAGCTAGCTGTTAAAGTAATTAATAATATAGCTAGCCTAAATAGCCTAATACTTATACTACTAGTCTTTAGTGCCTACTTATAAATCTCTAACTTATTACTACCTTTACTAACCTTACTTAAAAAGGCTAAAGTAGTAAGAAAAGTAATAGAGGCTATTTACTAAATCTATATAAATAGGTAAGTTAATAAGGTAGTAACTATATATAATAGCCTAGATACTACTATAATAGTAGCCTTTTTGCTTTAATCTATAGTCTATATCTAGTGTAAAAAAAAAGGCTAGTAAGGCCCTTTTTACCTTATTACTAGTAATAGGACTACTTATACTATTAACCTTCCTTAAGGCCTATAAACTTTTTATTTAACTATTATTAAACTATACCTTAAAGATACTTATAATAAGTAATAATAGCTACTCTTTAAGGTAGGTAGGTAGGGTAATAAAGAGAATAATAATAATAGTGTAGTAGCCTTATTACTTACTAACGTCCTTATACCTACTAAAGAAATATATAATAGTATTACTATTACTATATACCTATAGCTAAACTACAAAGCTAGCTACCTATAGAGGTATATTAATTTCTTTAATAAAACTAGCTTTACTATTAGGCCTACTACCTTTTTTACTACTATAAGTATAGCGTATATCTTAATAAAAGAAGAAGCTAACTAACTGTTATTAATTAAGCTATAAAAAAAAGGTATTATTACTACCTTAAGGAAGCCTTTTAAGTAAGTAACTACTACTAAAATTAAAGGGCTTATTACCTATAAGGTATTTTACTTTATTTAATATAATAAGAATAAGTATACTAAAGTATAAATATTTAAATTATAGATTATTAATAAGGTAAAAGGCTAAAATAAAAAGCTATATAAGAAATCCTACCTTATTATCTAAAGATATACTAATAATAGTAAAGAAGTAATTTTTACTTAGTTACTTATAATCTAGTAAGCTAGCTAGCGCCTTATTCTTACTTTTACTTTATCCCTTATTTATAATAATAATAGTTTTTTACTTTAGTTATATAATATTACCTAGATATATATATAGTTAACTACTTTATTAAATTATATAATTCTTATATACCTTTTATTATAGATATAAGACTTTTATTTAAAAGGTATTATTATATAAGTAGTAAAGCTATTATATAGTATTATAGAGGTAGGCACTTACTAGTAAGTAATGTATAGTTACTACTATAAAAAAAAGCTTTAGATAAAGACTTTAACCTTTAATTTATACCTACTAATTACTAATATAAAGAGCCTAGACTTTAGGATTATTAGTATATAGACTAATAATACTATTACCTTTTTAGATAAATCCTTCTCTACCTATAAGGCTAATAAGCTTACTAAGGCTATATTTACTACTAAGGAGAAGTAAATCCTTACTATTAATAACCTACTTACCTTTAATAGTAGTATAGTATCTCTAACTACTAAGAGGAAGCTTTTTCTCTAATAAAAAGGCTAAGGTAAGAGACTTTAACTTATTAATAAAGAATCTCTATAAGCACTTAAGTAGTATATTAAGTAATAAGCTTATAGTACGTATATTACGTTAGTCTACTAGCCTAAAGCGTACTTTAACTACTTTATTATAGTATAATACTAATTACTTAACGTAAATAAGATTAAGGCACTTAACTATTATATTATATAGTAAATAAATAACCTTAACTATAGTCTGTTATTCTACTTACTTAACCTTAAATCTATAAAGCTTTTTATTTTTATAAATAGATTATTTATAAATAATAAAGACTTTACTTTATAGCTAGGATTTATTATTATTCTTACTAATAAGACACCTATAAGTACTACTATAAGTAATAGATTTACTATAACTAGTAATATTATTTACTTTAGCTTAATAAAGTATAAGTAAGTTACTTAAAGTATACTAGCCTCTAAGATCTATAGTATAGTTACTAGTACTAACGTTACTTATATACTTAGTATAACTATTATAATAATTACTAACTACCTTAAGCTACTATATATACTAATAAATCCTTTATACTAACTTATACTTACTTTATAAGTACCTTATTAAGCTTAGGACTCTAAAAAAGAAAAAGCTTCTAATTAATATTATAGCCCTTTAGTAGTTATATAAGTAATATAAGGTTTATAAGGTATAATAAATATAAGGTAATAATAATCTTACTAATAGATTTACTAAATTATTACTTAATAAGGCACTAAAATAACTAGTTAGAAATAGGATAGTTTAAATTAGTATAAAGGGATAAGTTTCTTAAGCTATATAATAAATTATATAAACAAAAAGTATTAAATACTTTTAGGCTTTTAATTTTTATTACGTTTTTAAGCTTTTTAGCTGCTAGGTAGTATCTAGGCTATTTATAGTAATTTTCCTTTACTTTAGAAAGTTACTAGTGTTAGGATATTTAACTATTTAATAGTAGAGCTAATCTATAGTTACGTAATTTACTATTATGTAACTTACCCTAGCGGCTTACTTACACCACTACAAATACCCACAGCAGCAACCTCTTCTCTTTTCCTTTCTCATCATCTTCACCCAGCTACCAATAGTCAATTGACACTATTGCGGCTACCTTGATCGCGATCCCTGTGATACCAACATCGACCTTGAACTTGTGGCTCGCAATAAGCTTGAAACCGGCCAAACCAGAGGATCCATCGCCACTGCCACCCTGATGAGCTGCGGTTGGATGGGCCATGATGGCGGCTGCAATATCCTCAGGTGGACTAAACGCGCCGGCGTCAATGAGCTTTGCTTTGCCGCCACCGCCTTCTTCCGCCGGGGTACCCAGTATACGCAGTCTTCCAGGGATTTTGAGAGTTTTTAGAACACGAGCAGCTCCAAGGAATGCGGCAAGTGAGGATGTTGCGATAAGATTGTGGCCACATGCGTGTCCAATTTCAGGGAGCGCGTCATATTCGGCACATACGACAACTTGGCGGCCACCAGAGCCGATTTCGGCCTCGAAGCTGGTTTCGAGGCCATATGTGTGTCTCTTGATGGTAAAGCCATGCTTTTCAAGGTAATTCGCGATGGTGTCATGAGCAAAGAATTCTTTGTAGGCAGTTTCTGGGTTGGCATGGAGTGCTTTGTTGATCTCAGTGTGCAGTGACGAGTTCAGTTCATCAAGTTCTGAGTTGATAATGCCACGGGCCGTTTCGATGTTGAAAGTCCCCTGTAGCGATCTAGGCGCCTCTTTATCGCCTTGCTCCTCTGTCGAGGCGACGTCTGGGATCTGAATGATGGACATGGCAAGATTCTGAATATCCCGATAAGCTGCACAAGGAGACGGAAAACGTGGCAGATTTATAAATACGGTCTACTTTGGGACGACCTGGGCAGCCTTATATTTGAAAGTGGGAGGAAATATATTTTGTATTCAGATGGGTACTTCAAATAAGCTCCCAGCGATTGAGCAGGGATCTGTCACCTGCAGCAGAATTCATCGGCAACCGGTGCTTGGACCTTGCCGACCAGCAAAAAGGGCTGCTTGACTTGGAGATGCGGAGAAATAACCGACAGTCGGCAAACTTCTTTTAACATTTCGCCTCGACAAACGGTGCACGCCGGGCCATCGCTACCAGTCCAGCCATCCACGGCGCAACTAATCACCCGTCAATTCTACAATATTGATATTTGGCGTCGTTGTCTCGATTTCTCCTGCTTGTCGGCTATTTGGCAAGTCAAGAGTCAACATCTACCTCCCTGGACTAGTCATATCGTCTACAAAACGCCCCCGGGGCTTGTCTCGCTCTGGAACTGTTTGCTGCAGTACTATCTATCTCTTGGCCTCCACTTTATCGTTCCGCCTACAAAGCCGACGGCGGTTGAGCTGGCAGACAATCGCCAATCAATGGGGACTTCCTCGCCCGAAGCCAACGGAGATTATCCCGGAAGCATAGGCTCCTTTTTAGCCGAAGCTGGTGCCGACGGCACTCTTGGAGATGACGAGCGCTCGCACATTGCCGCTGTGGCACCACGCACGGGCGAAGGCCGGAGCGGACCGCGGTCAAGGAACGGATGTTGGACTTGCCGCACCAAAAAGGTGAAGTGTGACGAGCAGAGGCCCAACTGTCATCGCTGCTCACGGCTGCGGCTCCTTTGCGATTATGCACCCCGCATCAAGTTTAACAAGAGAGACAAATCACGCAAGGATCAACTTTTGTCGTCCCAGTTTGCCGTCTCGTCTGCCTCGTCGGCTGGAGATGGGGGTTTGCCGACCTGGGCGCAGGCTGTTTCTCGACTCGATCAGTCCAAGGCCTTATCGCTTTTCAGCCCCTCGGCACCATCCGTCGGGGCCTGCTCTCTTGATCTTTCGTCGGCTGATCACGAAGCGATTCGATACTTTCGTACCTCATTCGCCAAGCTTAATCACACAAAGACTCCGGATTTTTCACTATACTCCATCATGTTCGACGTTGCTCAAACTGACTCCATGGTCATGCGCGTGGTTTTGGCCCTTGGCGGACGGGAGTTGGAATTCCGGCGGAACAAAGATGCGGAAGAGGCCCGAGGTCCAAGAACCCCCATCCAGCATTACTCCTTGGCACTCCGCATGATGGCTGATACCATCGGTTGCGAGGATCATGAGCAGCTGGACCTTGATGCTGTTTGTACAGCTCTGTATCTTATGCTGCTGTATGAGCAGAAGTACGGTGATGGCAAGTGTCAGGGTCTTTCTAACCATCTCGTGGGCGCCAGCTTGATACTGCAACACCGTTTCAAAAACATGCTACTCCAACTGCCGGCCCCATCGCCCGAGGTCAACCGGAAGAGTTTGGCTTTGACAAGGAAGGGTCCCGACGGGAGTGGCTCACGCCTTTCACTTTACTCGGCACGAATACTCGTCTGGATTTCCCTCCACGACGCAGCAGCTGCATCATACGGCCTCGGTGGCCAGCTGAACTGCGCGCTGCACAAGATCATGGGGTCTTTGGAAGGCCCTGTGACCGCCCCTGTTTTTAGCCCCTTTCAGCCGATGGATGCCTTTGAGAGATTACACCGCTTCTCTAACCCACTGTATCGAAGCATGTGGGCTGATGCATATCCCCAAGAAGAGCTGCTTGATGATGTTGAGAATCGTAACGTATATGCACTCTTTGGCGCTTGCGGTCAGTTACGTTTTATGATCGCCCAGCTTGCGAACCTTTCTTGCGAAGGCAATGATGCATCACAACAGCAGCGCGTCATGGCTGTAGACATGGCCATCCAGCAAATTGGCTGGAAATTCACTGAGCTACTCGAGGTCGCAGCAGAGCTTTCCATTGGTACGGACAATTCGCATCGCCTCGTAGCCAACATTCGCGGCATTGTTCCTCACTACCATGCCGTAGTCCTCGAGTTCATGCGTCTGACGCGCTTCAACGATATCCCCATGCTTTCAGATCGCCAAAGAAGTGCTTTGAGGGAGATCATGAACCTCGCCTTCCAGGCCTTCAAACACGAGGGAGACGAGTCAATGGCGCGCATAGCATGGCCACTATTCATCGTCGCCCTTGAGACAGACGACCTTCTGCATCGGGATTGGGTGCTCAGTCGGTTTCAGGGGATGAGCCAATTTAGCAAAAACCTTGATCGAGCTCACGTTTTCCTCAAGCAGACCATCGAGATTCAAAATCGTCTCGGAAAACGGGTCGATGTGCGCGAGCGCTTCCAATCTGGCGAAGTGGGCCTCTTCGTCATCTGACCGTCAATCCGGTTTAATTCGACTGCGTCCGCTAAGGTTATTCGGCTGCGACGATCAGGCCGAGGGTTCCTGTTTCTATCCCATTAGTCAATCTTTTCCGGCTCTTCTCAGCGCATCTTTTCATGGCTCTACAAAGCGATGATCGGAAAGGTATACCCATAGCTCAGCGATGATAAAGTTCCTGAGAATCAATGCGTGGATCAGCAGCTATCGTCTACTCTGAGAATTCCTCAAATATCGATCAGACATCTATTGTAAGTTCAGGTCGAAGGCTTGCCATATTGGGAAAACACAGCTTCCACAACATACTGGAATGTGAGTGTTAGCTTGCAATATAGGCGCTTGTGGTGGATGCATGGCCATTTCCTGTGTGCTGTCAACGGCTTCGCATACCCATCATTTTGGGTTTCCGGATATTACCTTTCAGTTTAAAAACACTATCCCGCTAGCAGGGTTAACCATTGGAACCGTTCGTATCAAGATTGTCGGACGTGTCGGAGAGAATCCATCAGGGCCTAAGAGCTATATGCAAGTAGTATAAGCCTGCTGAAGTGGTAAAAGACGTCAAGTTCTGACTGGCCTTCGCTACCCACATCAGCACTCGAGTTGCTGATAGTCTTCCTCACGCGTTCGGCTCGATTTTTCTTCAAACCATGGGCTTCAGCACGCTGTACAATTGTGGTTCATATGCCCGGTTCCGTCTGCGAATCCACCTTGGTTTTGGCGGCGATTGGCTGTAGCACATATCGAAGGATTTGCAATACGACAAGTAACTAAGTAGGCATCTAGTTAACGAATCTTTCAGTTGGCTAACTGAACCGATCAGGTCTCTCACATCTACTGTAACGAAAATACCCATCACCAATAGCTCTTTCTACAATGGGAGAAGTCCTCTTGCAGCTCTCTCTCTCTCTCTGCCATATTGATCACCTACAGTGTAGACAGCATAGGCGTACATTATGCTTCATCATTTGGCATTGTACTGCTGGATGACCAAACGACGAGGTAGCATTGCTGCTGTACTTTATAGCATGTACGATTGTGCCTGGAAAACTGACCAAAGCGGCATTACGCTTGTACAAATCAGAACGAACCCATACATTTGTTCTTATACCCTGACTAAATTTCACAATCTAAAGGCTTCGCTACCGTACATGTCCACGGCAACCCCTTGAACCATGACGAGACTCCAATTCACTCCAGTTCCCATACCAAAGGGTCCTCGTCCCTTAGAGCTCGCCAGCGATTTGTCGCACCCACCATATCCTCGCAACCCTTGAGCAAGAAGCCCCATTTTTCGACAAATTTATCAGTAACCTCCCATCCATCCGGATGCCAAGGATCTGACCATACGATGATGCCGGGCTGGCCAAGACACGCATTGTCCCCTTAGGAACCGATAAGATCCTTACACAAGTCATGCTGGTCGTAGTCTGCTCGAAACTTGATAGCATTGTCACGCATAGTACCCGAAGGGAGGAGATCGATCCACGACTCATGGGGAGTCACCCTCTGCAACTTTGTGGGCAGTAATGTCGGCGGAATAGTTGAAGGAGACGGGAATAGAACGGGTTCATGTGGCTTGGATGTGCAGGAGCTTGTAAGAAGCGATGTCAGAGAGAGAATATGAATGTTGGTAAGTGTTGCCCGAAACACATTGTAGTAAATGAGGGGAACCAGGTGATCTTGATAAAGAGGGAACCACAAGTTTGGGTTCTGGAAGTAAGGAAGAGCGCGCTTCGTTAGTTCCGACTGGATGATTCGGGGGGGGCGTAGGACTTGTCGATTTGGCGAGCGTGACAATAGAGCTACGCCTCCCCCCATTGCGCTTTGCGTTCTTTTCGAGTGCTCGCTTTTATGATATGACGCGTCGATAGAACTGAGTTTAGTTTGTGTTTTTATTGCGCGATTTTCCGGTGCTTTCGAGGGGGTCCAGTGCACAATTTGCAGGCCGGAGCTTGGACCATCGTCGAACTTCAACAACTCACGCGATGAGTCGGCCATGGTGAGTGCTGAACCCTCCCGCTTCTGGCAAGTTTCGAACGCCTTGCGTTTTCCTTTGAGAAGCATCAGTTTTGTGTGTCTCTGGGTGTTCAAGAACCAGTTGGGTGTCCCTTACTATGCGCCCGGACGTTGAGGCGGTTCTGTCTCCTGCGTCTTTCATTTCTATTATGAAAGCCGCTCCAATCGTCGTCCTGGCACTTGCCTCGGAGTAATGAATCATCGGCGCTAGTTTGATAGCTTTCACTCGCGTTGCTGAGACTTCCATCTTGATGCACCAGCTGGTATCACGGAATTGCGAAGGAACAGCTGTTCGAGGTCTATGAAGCTGTGATTCAAGTATTCAGTAAATGAAAGAGAGTAAAAAGATGTAGTTGCTATCTGACAGCTGAAGTTAATCAGGTGTCTTGATTGCGCGGTCTGATAAAGCCACGTCAGCCCCTAAACGGGACAAGCGCCTGATGCAACTTGCGGCGCAGCCGGACTAAGGAAGCGGGAAAACATTAGGGTATTGTCATAAATTGCTATGGATCATTTGTGCTATCATACGCTTTCCATCAACGACAATCAGTTGAGTCAATGACAACAGTGGCGGTCTGTCTGCTTGTTGATAGGAAACCAGTGAAGACTTCAAGCCTGCATACAGATGAGTTACGTATCCAAGGCGGCCCATCCTAGCATAGGTACACAATGATACTCTAATGCAGTCTTATTAGCACAAAACAAGCATCATGTCCGGTGCATGACGACATGATAGAATATGAGTCGAAAGTCTTATGCAGTGTCTAAATTAATAAGATCTCATCATCATGTGCTACCAATGGGAGAATGAGAAAGACGCAGTCAGCGAGTAAAGGAAAAGCTGACTAAACCATGCGATCATCTCGTCTGTCCAGGCCAAGCAACTCGGGCGCGCGCGAGAATTGCTTACGAATAGAATAACAACAGGGGATAATCTGAGCTTGGTAATCTTATCTATTCCCAATCTTCCTGGCAGCAACTCCTGTCCATGACAGTATTAGCAGTGGATGTCGCATCCGTATATGAACTAATTTCTCGGTTATTGCAGCATCTTGAAATGTACAGGACTCTTTTCGTTTATCAGAGAAACTTCACAGGATATCTACTCGGGGCCCCAAGGTGCGAATCCGCTTATATCTAGGTCCTTCCTCGACACACCAAGGCGTGCCGTTCCCTGATCATCGACCTTGCAACATCGACCTCAGAAGCCATCTCAATGGGCCGAAACCCCTCCAGTGGCTATTGTCACACTTGCCGACGCAGGCGGGTAAAGTGTGGTGAGTGACCCAGACACGAGAATCCCACCTAGCAAAATTCGGGTCATATTTTAGGCATGCCGATGATATACTGAAAAGCATTTCCCTCTCATCAGACAAGCTTCGTCCCAAGTGCGAAAGATGCATCAGGTCAGGTCACAAGTGTTTGGGCTACGAGCTACCCCTTCGAATGCAACATTTCACCGCTGTGACAGAGGCTAGCGGGGCCCAGCAGTTGATTCGCATTTCTGATACAACCAAAGTTACACTTCCGCCGCCAGCCGTGACCCAAGAGTTGCCGTTGATAGCTTTCCGTGAGCAAATGGCATTCTCTCATCTCATCGCCAATTACCGATGGGGTCCCTTCTGGAAACCTGTGCTGCGGATGTCCTTGAATGGGCCGGCACCGCCTGACGTCGTCAAGGCTGATTACACCGGAAGCTTGGCGACGGCGCTTAGTTTCATGGGCAGTAGAGTCAAAGATCCGAAGATGCTGGCCGAGGGCTATGAACTCAACGGTCAAGTAATACGAGCCTTACAATCTGCCTTGTCCGTTGCATCGAAGAAACATCTGGCCCAATGGGCTATCACAATCATCATATTGAGTATCTACCAAGTGAGTTACTTGCCTACAGAGCTAGCTGACCTTGCTTTTTCGGTACACGTGTGGCTGTCAATGATGCTAATATCAGGTAGTACGCAGTCGAGCAGGAAATCAATATACCTCACTATTACGGAATGGCAAGGATCCTTGAGTGGTGCGGGCCAGAATGTTTCCAGCAAGAGCCTATGCTGACAAGTCTGCGCCAGATGAGGGTTATACATGTAAGACTTCATTAACAGACTTCAACCCAGATGCTGCAATGCATTGGGAGGTTCAGTTTTGCTGACTTTGAATGCATATTGACATAGGCATGTAAATGCTACAACCACTATCAAGGATCTTTCTTTGATCAGGAACGCTGGAAAACAGTACCATGGCTGTATCACCCAAAGACATCTCACGATCTCTTGATGGATATATTTGTCGACATCCCCGGGTTGACAATTTCAATAGTGCGCCCGGGCGAGCCCCTTTCTCCAGAAAAAAAAGCTGCAGCTGGTGCCGCAGTACTCAAGATGATCTCTGAGCTGCACGACTGGAGAGGGGCCTGGGAAAGATCCAACCAGAACAGTGTATCGGAGGTCTTCATGCCTTTGGAAGACGACGGTATCACCATAACTTGGGTTCGAGATCTACTTTCTCAACCTTTGATGCTTAATACGGCTGAACAGGCGATTGAGCTTCTGATCTACAATTCCGCAATCGTTCAGCTTATGAATCTTCAAGATATCCTACACAACGGCAACCAATTTCCACCCTCTTTACCCTCTGATGTTGACGAAACTATACTGAAGAAGCCAGATCAACTGCTGTATATGCCAGAAGATATCAAGTACCGCTGGCAGCCCTTGATGGAAGGGTTGAGGCTGATGCGATTGATTCCAAGGATATTTGCGTCCGTTGAATATACAGTAATGCTCTCCGCTTCGCCCTTTGGAATAATTTACAATGCCTCGCTTGGGACTGGGGGTGTTGGGCGTGTCATTCTTTCGGCAATGACAACCCCGGATGACTACGAAATGACAGAAAGAGAACTGGGTATATTCCGGTTGTGGAAGCCTGAAGAGTCAATAACTACATAACCTGGAATCACAAAGATAAAGAGTCTTGTCGGTTTAGCGGGAGCTTGTATAAGTCAAGATATAACATTTGGTAAAAAAAAACTCATTCAATATTGCATTTTCTAAAGGGGTGTACAAAAGATAATACTTTACAGTCTACTGCTAGAAACGTGATTTTTCCCTTCCGTTAGCTTTACAAAATGTCAGATCACCATGTATGTATATAGTATACAGACTTATATATGACAAATACAGCATGTTGCTCTTCATTCTTCTTCTCTGAAGGACGTACGGAAGCCCTCATGAACGCAAATATGTACAGTGTGTTCAATTGGATTATGTCACAAAAAACACTGTACACAGACGAAACTCCAGCTTCAGCCACACCGAGATGTCTATGACGACATGCGCAACGCGACGCAATGACTACATGAACCGGGGAACCTTATCTCTAAAGTTCAGTCACGGAGGCCGTAAACATCTGACTACCATCTGGTCATGAGCCTATCCGCATGGAGATCAGCGTCCAGGGCAAGATCCTGCATCCGCGTGCCCAGTGTCAGTATCAAATCTGCAACCACTCCCTTCCGATACGCGCCAGGCCTTCCCGTCGCCATGAAACGAAGCGCAGCAACCGCGAACCTCGCAAACGGGAAACAAGGCATCAAGAAGCTCAAGCCTGCGATTCCAGAATATCACTTGGCGCCATCAGTGAGAGGCGAAGATGGCGGCATTGTGTGGCCTGCGGCGGACGACAAGATGGAGGCAGCCAGGGCCTTCATCCGCGAGTGGTACGTCAGACCGGCGGCGTGAGAAAATGCATCGTCGCGCCGACTTTGACATGCCAATGTCCCCGGCTCGGAGCTTGTAATACATGACCCATGAACCCCTCTCATTCTAATTCCCTCCAGCGTGTCCGCCGGCAAGCCTACTCTCATCGTGCCGGACAAGGACGCCGACGGGCTCGCCTCCGGCGCGATCCTCGAACGCACCCTTGTCCTGCTCGGCCTGGACCCGTCGCTCATCACCGCCTACCTCCCGCCAAAAGGGAAAAACGTCCACGACGAATCCTGCCGCTCGGAGATGGCCTCCCATGAGCCGGCCTACATCTTCATCCTGGACCAGGGCTCCCGGTCGTCCCCGCCTCTCATTGACGGGCCGCACCGGGGCATCGTCATCGACCACCACCACGCTCTCGAGGGCGATCACCCCGAGGGCGCCTTGCACGTCACGGCATGTGACTCGCCCCCCGTTGCGACGAGCTCGCTGCTGACGTACCTCATCTGCCGTGACCTCCACGACGGAGTCGAAGGGGCCTGCGACTGGCTCTGCGTGATGGGGACGCACGGCGACCTGGGCAACACCCTGAAGTGGGAGCCCCCCTTCCCGGATATGAAGACAACCTTCAAAAGGTATACCAAAAAGGCCCTCAACGACGCCGTCTCGTTGATCAACGCCCCGCGGCGGACGGCGTCGTACAACGTCCCCTCGGCCTGGGAAGCCCTCCGCGCGGCAACGTCCCCGCAGGAGCTCCTGGCCGACACGTCCCTCCTCGCGGCCAGGGCCGAGGTCAACGCCGAGGTGGAGCGCTGCACCCACACGGCCCCCAAGTTCTCCGCCGACGGCCGCGTCGCCGTCTTCCGCATCAGCTCCCGGGCCCAGGTCCACCCGGTCATCGCGACGCGCTGGGCCGGCCACCTCGCCTCGGCCAGGCTCGAGGTCGTCCTGGTCGCGAACGAGGGGTACCTGCCAGACCTGGTCAACTTCTCGTGCCGCGTGCCCCGGTGCGCCAGGGCGCGAGACCCGCCGGTGAACATCATCGCGGTGTTGGAGGACGTCGCCGCCCGCTCGGGGGACCCGACGCTGAGGGACCGGTTGGGCGGCTCGTTCGCGCGGGGGCATAAGGAGGCGAGCGGGGGCATCGTGCCCAGGGCCGAGTTCGAGGAGCTGATGGCCGTGCTGGAGGTCGGGAAGAAGGCTGAAGGGGCGTCGCCGAAGAAGGCGCGGAAGCCGGCGCAGGCCAATACGTTGACGAATTATTTCGGCAAAAAGTAGACACCCCCAGGTTATAGACCCCTGCAGGCAAACACAACAACAAAAACAACAACAGCAACAACAACATTGACGGTTCCGTCGTTTCGTCATCACCTAGGTAGAAGATATCACTCACGAGGACTCCTCGCATCATGCACGGGGCCGTTCTTATAAGAACTCAGCACCTTGTGCTGTTTGATTCCTTCACTGACTAAACCCCGAATTGCCGTCTTCTATCGTACCTGATCGTGAAACTTCTCGAGGGATCAACAAATATGGTTTCCAAAGGTCGACCCCGGTTGACAGCCGGCAGCTGCGGATGTCCCCGATCGTTACCCCCCCGCAGGTCATGATCGGGAAACGCCGGTTCTCGCAGGTTAGCACCGGGACCACTGCCGTGCATCGATCGTCTCCATCTCGGCGATGAATCGTGCCCCGTAGGTGCGTAGTGGAAGATGTGCCGTGGGACATGCTGCCGCCGCTCTCTGGGGCGGGCAGACGGCTCCAGAGCCTGGACTCTTCGCACAGCTCTGAAGTCGTCTTCTCCCCGGCCGTGGGATCGCCGTTTCTGGCGTCCAGGGAAGATGATGGTTATGCATCCAAGTGTGCACTCGCGCATTCTTTGTCTCTCCGCTGTCTGATGCTGAATTCGATCTCCGCTCCAAGAAGAAACAGATGTCTTGTTCAAACCTGCGGCAAAAGCATGTGTGTCATGGTTGAGACCTGCTATGGGAAAGAAACAGTGAAACCTGTGTACCAATATAAAGAGAGAGGCTTGGGCTCCTTCTGGCGGGAAACAAACGCCGTGATTCAGTACCGAGACTTGCAGCACAAGCAGTCCAATCACGGCTCCCGTGTCAACACTGGATGATTCACTCTCTTCAACGACATATCGGCTCGTCCGCCGTTCTGGGCGACGAATGTTTTGGATTTTCTTCTCCTCGACAAATGCCTCGTCGCTAATCTGACCTCCCATCCTCCACAACGCAGGGCCACGGAGAGAACAAGATCAAGACCGCCAAGCTGTGCTATTGAGGGGTTTGCCTATTAGCTAGTGAACGCGTTGCCCAAGCACCATTGCTGGCTCATTACAGACTAAAAGATGGACCGTAGGTTCGTGTGTAATACTACTGCGATTCATGATTATAGCTTGTGCCGCGTCTGCCCTTTGAGGGATGAAGTCGTCAAAATAGATGCTAAGCGTGTAAAGTGCTGCCCGGGCTTCTTCAATAGCTGCTCCCCCTTGACCCCCCCCACACACACCGGCATTCGGACCCAGCAACACCCGTCGTCAAACACGGCGACCAACAAACACCCAGGCAATGCATCCGGTCCCGGACTCCGGAAAGAAGGGAGACCGGTGCTTGGTTTAGGTATTGACACTCACACACACATTGCGGGGGGGCAGAAACGGAAACAAACTGGACCCACACGGACCATGTTTCGGGGCGGGGGCTCCCGCCGATCGCGAGTGACGGTGCCACTGCGCAGCACGTCGTCAGAATCGCCCACCAGGATCAACCACACGCTCTGAACTCTGAGCTCTGATCTGATTCATCACCCCCTCCCTCCCTCCGGAACAGCCCCCACCTGCTCAGCCTCCAGATACCGAAGTTACGCATTAGTATACACTGCGCTGTCTGCTATTACTAACGCTCGGCAAGTCCTATTACACCATAAACATACGGATACTGCACCTGGGATGTTTAAACCGTCCTTCGCTGCCTCGAGGTTCAGGCAAGGAAGCATGGCGCTTATCATACATAGTACATTGCCTACGCTAAAAGCTACTACAGTGTCAACTCGCCTTTGCAGAAACGACATTCTCCCAAAACTATGTGCTTTGAATGGTATCAAATTCTAGAATCTCTTGGGGTATACCTATGCTGATGGATAATGATACAGCTTCAAATAAATGGTCTGCTGGGTCTTTGCCCGCCCTGGGTCGGTCCTGTTTCCGCCCTTTCATGCGCCTGTTTCCTCATGCAATGCTTTCGTGTTTCTTGTGCAACGTTTGCGTCTTCCACTCTTCATCTCCTTATGCGGTTGCCGTCTTCCGCACCGTGAGCCGATGGCCCCAATCGCGGATTCTCCTTGTGAGACTTCTCTTCATCGGCACGGGCTCCATTACTTTCTCGAGCCCTCCCATGTCACATGTCTCCATGGCCTGGTCAGCCGTGACCGACTCGCTTCCGAGTTTGCTCTGGCGCCGCTGCATGAAGGCCGCGCCTGACGAGTATGTCCTCTTAGGCATGACTGGCGCCAGCTGGGCCATGACCTGCTGTTGCGCCAGAGGCGGAGACGTGATGTACCCCATCTCCGTTGACGTCACAGGAAAGGTTGAGGCCCGAGTCCGGCACAGGCTGTTGCTGCTGACAGAGCGTGAGTGCATTGGGCGTTGGTTGGCCGAAGCCGCCGGCGGTGGTACCGAGGCCCAGCCTTGGCCGTGGCGGAGAGAGACCCAAACCGAGCTAGCTGTGATCAGGGTTCTGGTGGCTTCGTCGACCGGGTGCGTTTCGCGCTTCGTCATTGAGAGAGCTGGAGATGGAGGGGACGAAGGTTCGTCATCGCCACAGAGGTCTGTGCTCAATGGTCTCGTAGGAGGATAGCGAGCGGATGATTGCGATACAGTCGTGTAGTTGTCGAGGATCTCGAGGTTGGCTGGGGTCAGAGTCGCCATGACGGGATGCCGCCGAAGCTCGGGGTCGAGGATGCTGAACGTGAACTTGTATTCCGAGGCCGGCGCAGGTTTCGAGACGGCTGCGCAGGTAGCCGTTGATAGCGGTCTAGCATTGCGTCTAGCCCATCGCGCTGTCGTCGTCCGACCCGCCTCGTCGACGTGTACGAAGTCGTACGATCCGTTGCTCGTTTGAGTGGCCGTCCACACAGATCCATCCGCCAGCACGATTTCTGTCTGGTCCGACGAGTCTCTCCTTTCGCCTTCTCTGCGCTCTACTGGCGAGATGACAGCCACCAAATCCCTCGTGTCCAGGTCCTTCTCGTCGCTGTCCGAGTCGTCGGCGGGGGTGTCGTAATCCTCACTCCTGGTCAGAATGAGGCCATTCATGCCCAATTGTCCCTTGACCCTGAACATCTTGGGGAATCGTCGCGCCAGGCGAGGCAGGATGACGGTGCCGGCAATCATGCTTGAAGGGAGGACGTCGATGGCTGGCATTGGCCGCTTGTCGTTGGATAGTTGCTGCAGCTGAAGCAGGAGGCGCGGACGAATCTGAACGAATCGGCGCTGCTTTGTCCGAAGCTTGGGCGGCGGGTACGCCAAAAGGTAATTTGTGGTTTGCCTCGCGGCTCTTCTTGATCTCTTGGACCCGACGACAGTGCTCGTATCGCTTACTCCCGACACCAGGCTGCACTCGTCCTCGCTGACGCCGTCGAGCACGTTTGTCTCTTCCCGCACCACGGTCGGCTCTTCCTCGAAGCGCACGACAAGGTCTTTTCGCGGTGAGAGATCAGAAACAGGCCGGTTCCTACGGAAACTTGGACGGGAAGGGGATGCAGGCCCTTGGTATGATAGACGACGGTTGATACGCTGGGTCGTGGTTTCGGCATCGTCTACAGAAAATGAAGTCCGCGGGAGTGGTGAGGCGCCTAGCGAGGATCGAAGGAGGCTCCGTCTACGTGCAGGTTGAGGGCCATTGTTGGCCGGCTTGTTGGAATACTCGTGGCCATGAAGGCTGGCGCCCGAATGGAGAAACATGGTGATTATCTGGGGTTAGAGATTGGCTGTGACGAAGGCATGGGCGTGTTGAAGAAAAAAGCAGTGACGTTGTCCAACAGCAATGCCGAGGGAAAGAAAACGCGGCAGTTTTGGGTGGGCTCCTCGCGTTCTCTGAACCGGTGTACAGCGTCGTATGCAGGAGGAGTATGGCGTGGTGGGCTGCGGAATAGGCGTACTTGCAAGGTATAAGCCGGGAGAGCTCTGCTTCTCACTCCACTAGCAGCTGGTCAGGCGGAGTGGCTACAGATGCCGGTAGGGGTTGCAGTGCAGCTCGGATGCCGTAAATCCCGTTCTCTGCAATACAATATAATGGCGCAGGTCGTCGAGGTTGGTGAAAATGTGCCTGGCGATGGATCGATCGCTACGGCGACGAACAAACAGGAGCTTGGTCGACGCGGCGACAGTTGGAACGGATGCGGCAGAGGCGGTGGGATATGGCGGAGACGAACAAAGACGAGCACGATAGGAAAAGGGGGACGACAACCTCGGGGAGCAGGATGTAGCAGGCAAATGAGCGGCCTACAAGTAAATCATCTAGTGTCAGCCCCGAGACTCTTCTCCGTTGAGGCACAGCCAGCCGAGGCAGCACAGCTACGTTTTAATTGAAAGGGGGTGCAAGACGGAAAGTGTTCTATGGCTTAGGGATGGCTTTAGGGGCGTGACTCGTAAGCGGTCAGTGGACCCCAAGCGCAGTCAGACGGCGTCGATGGCGTCCGCGGGCGCGGGATGGGCTGAGGTGAGGAGATGACAGCTGAAGGGGAAATGTGGGAATGGCCTACCTGATGCTATGGTATGCTGTGCGGATTGGTAGAAGAAGCCGTGTTGCCGTGTCGCGAACTGGCAGTGTGGGCTCACAATGATGGAATGGCAGTGGTGGACTCTGCGAATGCGTGTTGACAGAAAGGGAACCCAATGATGGCTGGTCGTGCCGGGTCTCGCAGCTCGGAGGTCGGGAATTCCTTCGTTGTTAGAAGCAATGGACACGCGGTTGCAACGAAAAGATGGCGGGGTGGTGGTCGACGGTGTCGTTTTCACCGGTCGTACGTCGTAATCGATCGTGGATGGCCGTGTGATTGTATTGCACGATGCAGATGAGTGGTGTTGGGAGCGTGGTCTGGCCCCAAGGGTCGGAAACCTTTGAAGGCTTGAAGGAGAAGGGAAGAGAAGTGACGGAAGAAGCGGCCACCAGGGTCCAAATAGATGTAAGTTGATGGAAAGGTCTAAACGTCGAGGCAAGGGTAGACCAAGTGTTTGAAGGGTAGCCGGGGGAGGGGTGGAGGTGGTGGTGGTGTGTGGTGGTGTGTGGTGGTTACAGCAAGATGTACACCGTTGGTTTGTGCTTGAGTACCTAGCCTGACCTCATGGGCGGACGAGGAGGGACGAAATGGTGGTGTTGTAGCTTCGTTGCCGCCTCGAGCTTGAGACGGGAGGGGGACGGAGGCGGAGGGAATGATAGGTATCTCAGTCCTTTTCTTTGGCGACGCACTGTCCTGTGCGTATGGGAAAAAGGAGGGGGGGGGGAGGGATTCCTGTCTTAAAGTCGGTGGTGGGGGTGGTGGTTGGTGGTGTGGTTGCAGCTAGCTACCTAGGTACCTACACTACCTACCTACGATTAGTTTTCTAGGCAGGTTGTGAGGTAGGTACAGAGACACAGCAGGAACCTAGGACTCCCGCCTCCTGTCCTGAGGGTGGGTACGTACACAGGGTACACTCGGGGAAGGTACCTTGGACTGTCAGGTGTCAGGTGCGAGGGGATCAAGTTACACTAGACGGCGGAAAGAACGGAGAGAATCAGAGAAAGAGATGTGGTAAAAACAAGAGAGCTAGCTCTAGAGCAGAAACAAGGAGAACCAGTCTGCCGGAAAACAAGAAGAGAATGAAGGATGAGGTTAAAAAGTGAGCGAGATCCAGAGGGAGAGAGGTTGAGCAAACGACGAAGAGAAAGAGGGAGAGAGGAAAAGAGTGAGGGAGGGGAGGGGAGGGGAGGAGGTACGTCTTATTTGGCGGGGAACAGACTGCGGAGCAAGGTATCCAGTACGTACCTTGGCTGGCTTGTCTTCCTTGTGGTGAAGGCGATGATGGCCGCCCCCTCGCAAGGCAGGAGGGGAGGAGGAACACGAGGAAATGAAAGAGCGGTGCGGTCGTGACTACTCGCTTCGGAAGCCCCCTTGCGAGGTGGTGGAATGTGTCCGACTGGACTGTGCGGCACCTGCACCCACGAAGATGATATCAGGTAGGCGTGTATGTCCGTACGTGGTGAAGGTGTATGAGATGAGGGTAGCGTATATCCAATGTGCCTTGACTGTATCCGTGACAGCAGGTACACTATAAAATGGGCTGCTTGCTGCTCCAGTATAGGCTGTGTTTGCGGTCAGCGAGCGAACGGGCAGGGCAATTAATTAATGAAGGACCTTGCCCCTAATAAGGGCTTTGATTAACTCACCCAGGTACGTAACTCATTCAAGTCCGCAGGAGCGATGAGGAGTACGTACCCTTGGAGGATTGAAGTCGATAGGGGAACATCAATTGTGGAAGCAGGCCTACCTAGGAATGCCTGTCACGCACGCTGAACTCCGGTGGGCCCGGCACCGTCGATAAGGATGGATTGTGGATTCCGGAGCCCCAGTGAGCCACAATCCTTCAGATGTCCAAAAAGATGCTCGCTCGCTGCTTGTGGCAAGGAGAGACCGAGAGACGTGTCGATTCGTGACGACGGCTTCGTCAAAGGGAGTGGCGGGCTCCTTCTCGTTGACGGGTATGGGGTGATGATGATGTGGGATTGTGGGATGAAATCATGGCATAGCTTTGACGACTTCGGAGCTCGCTCGCTCTTATTCTCCTAACCTCTCATCCATCTCTCTCACCGTTTTCTTCCAGCCCGCCAACAAACACATCGTGCTTCGACATGTCACGACAACTTACTTGCACCACCCCATGCGCAAAGCTGTACTACTACTACTACTACTACTACTACTACTACTAATACTAATACTAATACTAACTACGTGGGCAGTTCTGAGCAGCCCAACCGAGGTGGCCAGACTCGCGCCGTCCGTCCTAGCGCGAACCCCCCGTGGGCCTGCTTCTCCCTCTATCTGAGCTGATGCGCCTTTTGTTTCGTTTGTTATTAGCTAGCTGCCTTCTCACACGCAGTAGTAGTCGACTTCGCGCCGTCCTTCGTCTAGCGCGGCCGTTTAATCTTGCGGAATGGGCGAGCAGTCCGGCTTTTGCTGTGCTTCTTCGTTTTGGCCCGGCCGTCTTGGCCCGGAACTCTATATAATGCCTTGAACCATGTTATGACAAGTACATTATATGGGTGAGGTGACAATGGCAGTAGTCTCTGCACTAGGTACTGAAAAGCCTCCCTAATCCACATGCCACCACCGCTGCCGATTCACAACTTTGAAAAATGCAGAGCCTGCCCGAAAGCTGTGACAAGGTACCGACAGCTGCAAGCCTCCACTTCGTCTCTGCGTCGGCTCGTCGGCGAACTGCGAGGGATCCCAGATTGGATGGGGCCGAGAAGGGCCCTCGTCGCCTAAGCCCTGCGCCGACCTTGCTGAACCTTGAAGTGGGCTCTGTTCCACAGCTTCCTCACAGCCTTCGTCATCCTTCTTGCGTGAGGGGCAATATCAGATCAAGGCTCCAGCCCACGCCTCAACCTCATGTGACAGCACCGTCTGGGCGTCTGTGCGTCCGCGTTTGGCCTATCTTGTCCTGTCCCTGCCATGAGGGAAATCGTGCTGCCCTACGCTGTGTTGCGCTGGGAAAGCCCCGCTGTGCAGCAGACTGGGATCCTGCAGCAGCAGCACAATGTCGGGCGTGCTGTGTGGGGAGTTTGCGTCATGTTAGTTTAGACGTGCGTGCCACAATTGATGGATGGCTCTCACAGCTCGTTACTGTGTCTATGAACTCACAGCATGGTGGTGGCCTGCCTGAGCCTCAACTCTCTCGCCGCCTCTCGTAATCATCTTATTTCTGTTGCCCCGATAAAACACGGCTGCCGAGAGGAGGGTCGCTGGGAACGGAGTTCGACTCGACTTGTCGCCCATTACGCGAGCTGGGAATGACCATGGGCATGCTGCTAAATTCAGCTGGTTGCATCCCGGCTGCGCGTTTTTCCCCCAACCCATCCGACACGGTAGACGATAACCCGAGTCCAACCAAAACGAAATGTGTGCTAGGAACTCTTCAAAACCAGGATCTCGCCTTGCAATGCTGCCATCATGATGAACTTCCAGCTCGATGGCAGGGCTGCGTGCCTACGGTAGCAATCAATAAAGTCTCTCTCTCTCCAAGCAAATCCTTTACATTCTGTTCTTAAGGTCACAGACACTTAGAGGTCTGACACGCGCCAAAAGATTTAGAGCCATGCTCCCACTCGCTTGCTGGTGTCAGTGAGATGCTCAGACCGGCGATCCGCGCAGCGCTGATGCCGAGCGCTGACCAGTGTTTGTTGTGGTGCAACAGAATGCTCAAGCCTGCCCACAACTTCACTCCGTGTTATTGTTTGCTGGCGACGCTGCCTCATTCGCTTGTCGAGGGCTCACTGGAGTGAGTCTGGTGAGATGCAGCTATGCGATGGCAAAGGTAGCGTCGCCAACACGTCCCGGCTGACAGTGGCGGGTGCATTGGTGGTGAAGAGGTGAAGCGAGGTGCGGCAGGAGACGGCCGCCACCGTAGCCGGAAGCTTGGTCTTCTCCCATCGCAGCCTCCGCGTGAGACGTCTCGAGCCGGTGGGCAGTATTAGATCAGACCGTCCAGTGATAGCCGTTTTGCACCTTAGGCAGACTCGCAGTAGACGGTCGGTAAACTGGAAAAAAGTCACCGAGGCTGCCTTGGCCGGAACACGTCGCAGCCGGGGCCTATTGCTGTTGCTCGGAGGCAGACCAGGCCAGTCGGTTCGGTGACATGTGGAAGCCTAATTGTTTCGTTTCGAGCGCTTGTTTCGCGCCATCCTCAACAACAGTGGGCGCGCCATGTCTGATTTGATCGGACGAGGGATACGCCATGAATCCAAATGTAGGAATCGTTCGCGATGCCCAATCAGGTCTTTGTCGGCTTCAGATCCGACGAGCTCGGCTGGTAGGGATCGTGTTCAGTGCATCTAGTCTAGCCACGCTGTGCCTGCGCTTACGCCGTGACGTGGTGAGCGGGATGTGGTGTTAGTGTCCCCGGGCGATGGGTCTGTCAACATCGCGACGCAGTTGTCAAGTCATTCAATGCCCGTTCTCCTCACCCCAGTCCAGGGTCGATCCGCTATTGCCCAATTGACCAGGCCACATGAAGATGGATCTGGAAGAATGTTGCGTACCGCAACTCGAAAAGCGCGCCTGGTCACCTCCATTCTCCGGTGTCTGAGATTCAGATCCGAGACTGGAAGGGACTGTCAGGATGACCCCAACGTTATGATTGGTTCCGTTTGGCAGTGGTGCGGTGCAACACGGTGCGATGCGACAGGGCCAATGGCAAGACGTCGATGCGAGACAATGTCGGATGTGCAACGGCGGTGAGATGTAAGGTGCGCGTGTCCTATCTCGCCCATTGTCGACATCAGCGCAAGGAGAGTGACTGAGCTCAAACAACGGTTCGGGCAAGTCAGAGGCGCCAGCCATGCTGACAAGGACGATGGCCTAAGTCTCGGGGGGTGGTGATGGGCATGCGTGTTGACGACAGACAATGGTCAGCTTAGCCTGCTGATTCCCCCCCTTGTTTGGGACGCCGTAGTCTGCGTCCCGCAAATGGCAGCAGTTGGAGGTACCATAAGCAGCCGCCACGCCACGATCTCCCATACGCTCCCAAAGAAGTCAGTTGACAGGGCGAGGGGTCCAATCGCAAGGGACCCAATAAGACGGATAGATTCATCCCACACACACTACTAGCATGAGGCAGCAGCTATACGGAGTACATTCTTGGTCTTTTCACTTGGCTCGCAGATCCGAGTCTGCAGACGAGAACAGGAGCCGGAAAGGGGTAGATATCAAGCAACAGAAGGAGACGAAGAAGAAGAATACGAAGAAGAAAAGGCGGATGGATGCAGCGGCCAAGCCGGTGGCTGCGCCGAACGGACGTCGATTGCCAAGTCTGGTGACGACCTGACCGCCGGCAGGTTCTTTCTGAGCATGGAGCTTTAACGGAGACTGGGTCGCGTCTCAGCCAGAAGAATACCTAAGCAGGAGGTCAGACGGTGGGGGCTCCTGCATGAAACAAAGCAGAGCAAACAGGCTGGTAAATGGGTAGGTACTTGGGTAGTAGTGTCCATGCCTGCTGCTTCTCGAGTTCACGAATACAAGTACGAAATAAGAAGACTGCAGGAAAGAGGTAGGGGGTAGAGGGCGACCTGCCCGATATGGTGTGCCTTACATAATAAGGCAATGATGCAGATGTCAAATGTCGATGTAGACACAGATGCAGACGCAGACAGATGCAGATGCAGATAGATGCAGATGCCCAAAACTTCGGAAGAGGGCAGGAGGGGAGGGGGCCCTTGCTTCCTTCACAGTGAAACCTCAATAAGCAAACAAGCTGAGTGGGAACGTGGGGGCACAAAGGAAGGAGCCTCCACAACCCGGTGCAGCCGTGGATGGATTACATTACAGGCACGTATGGCTTGTAGGCAATGTACGATGTACTTACTGCTCAGTAGGTAATCTACCACCTAGGTACCTATCTACCTACAGTACGTGAGTACCTAGCTTGGAGAAGGCGGCGACATCGTGCGCTTTCCCCTCCCTCCCCTCCGGAACTGTTATTCCCATCATCGGGCAGGCACTATGTACTACGAGATTGATTGCATACCTACCAACGTAGTGGTATGTCAAGTACCTATTCCAACCACTCATTCAGTCGGTAGCAAACTAGCAAACATCCGCTCCCCCTTCACTCATGCAATGTCTCATCCGAACCTCGCCCTCTCCCGCAGCGCATGTGATTTGCGATGCTAATAATGAGTCTGACGGTTCTCTGCTTCCGCTACTGCTTCTCCCCTTTCTCGCCTCCTGTACTGAGTATGTAGGCTTGCATTTGCACATGCCAATACCTCGCGTTGGGATCCATCATAGACAGACCTGGGCAAGCCCGACTGATCTATCCGTACATACAATTTTAGTAGAGTGACAGGAAAATCCAGATCAGCCGCCAATCCTCTCCTCCACTCACACGCATCTCCTCCCGCCCCTCTCGCTGCAGCAGATCGTCCGGGAGTTGCCTCACTGGTTGAGTACAAGACCGACAAGTCGCTTGCTTGCTTGCTTGCCTTTGGGGCTAAGGACGCAGGTGAGCCACCGCCATCGAGTCTTCTGTTGGCTGCTTCCCGGCAGACGTCCGCCCCATCATTTCCCTGCCCGATGGATCGAGGATGGTGGTGGTTGCATTGGGCGATTCGCACAACATGGCGGTCAGCAGCTGCAAACGCATCTGGAATAAGCTGGTGATGCATCAGGTCGAGTCGCTTTGGTGTGTCCTGTGCCTGGCTGCCTCGATATCCCTTGCCTCTGTGGCGTGGCCCCTATGGGTATGGAAACGCGCATGCGCCCTACGCGCGACGTCTCTCTCTCTCTCTCCCTCCCTCTCTTGCGCGCGCGAGAAATGAGCACACATGATGGTCCGCGTCTAACCCACCCCCCACCTCTAAGGAATGCACTTCATGGGCTCATCTCAGGGGCTAGGGGAAGCACGAAGGCGGTAAATCGCAGTAAGGGGATGAAGCTCGCTCTTGTAAGAGCCACCGTTCCCAATCCTGAAGGAGTAAGAATGCTGGGCTGGGCGAGCGAGCGAGCCCTGTTCAGTGGGACTGCCCAGGACTTCGCCACACTCACTCTCCCCCAGTCGCAGACAGACCGAGAGACCTCTCCCCTCTCCCGGCTGGGATGGATCGGCTCGATTCATCATGGCATGGATCCAGATAGAGAGAGAGAGAGCATGGAGCTTCGAGAAGAATTCCTCGGAAAAGGGGGCAAAAGGGGTTGGTATTGGGGGCCAGCTCCTGGGGGTTCATCCACTCGTTGATGGTTTCCGCTAATCACAATCCTGGGAGCCTGCCCTGCAAGTCTGGCACCGTCAAGACTAACACTTGCACCCTGAGTGACTGGACGAACATCGGGTTTACCAAGATGGAGACCCGCTCGCACTGAAACGGTCCCGGACTCCGGCTGGGCGGAAGAGCATAAGAGAAAAACAGAAAGAACAAAGGAATTGCAAGCAGGCACCAGGGCAAGGGTATCCATCCTGCCATCCAGGTTCCTTCCTCCGAAATTGGCTCGTGCACCGTCCAGGCACACACCCGGAAGGAACCGGCTCACCGAGCTCACCGTACTTACCTACTCAGCTCACCGACGACGCCCAATTGGCCAAGTGGCACCGCGCGGGCTCAACGACGATCGTTCCTCCCGAGGCTCCGATAGCCTCGCAACAACGCAATCCGCGAGAATCTCGAGGAATCCCTCCCCCTCCCCAATGCGCCCGACGTAATCGAGTACGGCATTCGCATTTTTACCTCCTCCTTACATTGAGACTAGATCCAATTCTGGCTTCGCGCTCTCCGACCCCTTTGCAATTCCACACGGCGTCCCATGAAGCGCCCGGGTCCGCGGCATATCCCGTTCATCAACCTTTCGGCAGGCATCCTCGTCCGACGTCATCTAGCCATCTAGTCATGCTAGACCGCCATGGCTCTCACCCCCGGCAAACCCTGATCGCGGCCTTCACGGCCTGGAAGGCCCTCTTGCTAGCCATCGCTCTGGGCAGCGCCGTGGCGCCATCCTACGATACCTCGACAACGCTGATGCTCCGGCGCAACGAGTCCGACCTTTCCATCGTCACCCGTCTGACCCGCTGGGACGCATTGTACTTCACCCAGTCAGCCAGGCGAGGCTACGTCTTCGAGCAGGAATGGGCCTTCAACTCGGGCCTGCCCATGTTGTACAACCGTCCGTACTCCTCGTCAAAGATCTTGGTCTATGACGACGGCACTGGCGCCCTGGAAGCCGCTCTCGCCATCGTCGTTGCTCATGTCGCGCATCTCTTTGCGGTACTCATGCTCCATGAGCTGACGTTCAAGCTCTTCTCACGCCCACGGCTGGCGTTCCTGTCCGCCCTGCTTCACGTCCTGTCTCCGGCCGGACTCTTCCTCTCCGCGCCTTACGCCGAGAGTCTCTGTGCATTCTTCTCTTTCGCCGGCTACTACGTGCTCTCCTTCGTTTTGAACGATCCCAAAGGCTCTCTCCGCTGGACCGCCGGCCAGGTCCTCGCCGGCGCCATATTCGGCCTTGCAACTGCCTCTCGCTCCAACGGCCTCTTGAACGGTCTCCCTTTCGCTGTCGAATGCCTGATGTTTATGCCCTCGCTTCTCGCCAGCCCTACGAGTCTGATGAACCTTGCGACTCTCTTTGGTCCCATAGTGGGCGGGCTCCTCGTGGCGACCGGATCCGTCATTCCACAAGCGCTGGCATGGTTACGATACTGTTCCGGCGCATCCGAGCCGCGCCCATGGTGCGCGCGGACCGTGCCCAGCATCTACACGTTTGTACAGGAACATTACTGGTAAGTACACACACGGTTTTGTTACTTTTTTGTCTTGTCACAGCTGCTCCGGTACCTGTCCGTACACCGTCGGGTGGCCGGGCGGCACTTGTGTGGACTTGAGGTGGACATTGGGCCGGTGGTGCCGGTGGTAGAATTTTTCTTTTGGTGTACTGTTCGACTCGCTAATGTTCTACCTGACACAGGGGCGTTGGCTTCTTCCGCTATTGGACGCTATCGAACGTTCCTCTGTTCATTCTCGCCGCGCCAGTGCTAGGTTTGCTCATCATTTCCGGGTGCGAGGTCATGACCGGAATGTCGGGGTTCGCGCGCACTCCGATGGCCGACAAGCCGCTCCCGCAGCGGGATGGCTCGAGGGCGGCTCTGGTATTTTCCATGGCAGCGGCCCAGGTCCTGCTCGCTGGTTTGGCCATCACGACGTACCATGTGCAAATTATCACCAGGATTGCGTCCGGGTACGCGGTATGGTACTGGTGGGCTGCCAGCTGCCTGCTGGATGATGGCGCCGACAGCAAGCGGCAGAGCTTGGGTGGCAAGATTGTCACCTTTTCCGTCATGTACGCTGCGATCCAGGGTGTGTTGTTCGCGTCGTTTCTTCCGCCAGCTTGAGATACCCGAGAGGGTGCCACGACACGCGGTACCCCGTCCGTCCTGTCACATAAAGTTTTTTCCGGTGTTTTAGTCTTATCACGAGAGCCCCCCAAAAGCAACAAGATCCCCTGCCACATGGGATGACAACCAGCATCGTTCGGTCGGCAGCGGGTAGCCTTGAAAGCCCATGAACTCCTTTTTGCTTTTCTAGACCCTGTGCATGATGGGTAGTCAACCCCTATAAACTCAAAGCCTTATGCATGAGGTATGCGCAAAGCAGTGTGATCTCGGCATGAGAGACAATGTCAAGAGCACTGAGTTCGACTTACTAAGCCATGTGGCTCGCGCATGACATCGTTTTACCGGGGAACCGGATTCTCGGGGTATGTCTGAGTCTAGTATGGCCGAAGCCTATATGCCGGGCGAAGCATAAAAGCCTTTCAGAACTTATCCGTCGGGTTGGTTCAGTTGAATGCACGGCCTAAGGATAGTCGGTCAAAGCTGCATAGGACACAACTTCATTACGATGAGGTCATGATTGACGTCGTCACCATAATGCAGCCTAACGCTCGCCACGTCAACCTGGACGTTGATAGTTTCTGGTATCTTCTTCCAGTGGGCAAGCAAATCCATCGTGTGCATTGAAGCAACATCGAAATAGTACGCAACTAACTCTGATTGAACATGGGCCAGTCACCTGATCGCATTCTGACTACGACGAATAGCGCAAAGTGATTTCTGTCAGACCATCAACGGCTTCGCTCAGAAGAAAACATGTAGTTAAAGAACGAGGAGCTTAAAGGCACGTCATTAGCATGGTGACCTCAACTCCGCTTCATCACGGCAACGCACGGAGCCGCATATGACTCTGCCCCCGTCTCATCCCACGTGGTAGCGGCGGGTAAGCACCGTCATATCAAGAACCATGTCACGAAGAGACTGAGGCTGTTCAATGATAGGCCACGGGTATCGACAATACAGGCCAAGCGGGCCGGATGAAACCTCAGCAATGGATTTTCATTCTGCTATCTTGTGCAGGCGCGAACTCATGTGCCTCATCTCTGCTGTGTATTCTTCCCCCAGCACTGCGAGCAAGCCATCGTGTCGAGGCCATCATTTACCAGAGACTGTACCCGGTCAACACCCATTCCATTGCTGACGGCCGCTGTTTCCACCTACTAATGAACCATTGAACCACACGGGTATTGCCAAAGCGAAGCCATTCCTTCCAATCCCAGGCCCAGTTCGTTCCGCATGGCGCTCGTCGTTTTTCTTCGTCATTCGTAGGCAGAAGGAAGAGAAGCCTTGAACAATAGTTAGCAACGGTGTCTGGCCAAGGTGAAGCAAGGTACGGCATACAACACGACTGTGGCCAACCATCTCAAACAGCTCTCAACGGAACGCGTTACCGGGGTCAAGGCCCGCGAGGTACTCCTGCAAGTGGGCGTCGCCGCGCTGCGCGCGCTGCGCTCCCACGCACTCCAGCTCGGCAGCGATCTCGCGGTCGCGGGTGCGCTGGTCGAAGAAGCCGGTGACGCAGAACCACATGCGGAGGTCGGCGACGGTGATGTGGCGGTGGGCGGCGCCGACGACGAACTTGACCGTCAGGACGCGGTCGTGGCCGGCGGCCTTGGGGTCGTTGACGAGGAAGATGGGGCGCTGGTTCTGGAAGAAGCGCGCGTGGCGGCGGCGCATGTGGCCGAGCTCCTGGTCGCGGCGCTGCGCGTCGAAGAAGCCGGTGCGCTGGAGGTAGAGGCGGACGCCGTCGACGTCGATGACGCGGGTGGCCGTGTCTTCGGGGTCGCGCGGGCCGATGACGAAGTAGACTGTGAAGGCGTGCTCCTGGTCGAGGGAGTTGAAGGCCGTGTTGATGACGCCGTACTCGTTGCCGTTCAGGTAGGTCCGGGTGTAGCCGGCGATGGACACGCCGCGGCCGTCGGGCATGGGGCCGGGATACTCCAGCTCCATGTGGCCGTGCTGGGCCTCGCGGGCGCCCGTGTCGGAGTCCATGTTGGTCTCCTGTCTCGCCGTCAGTCATATCGTCAAAGCCACGGCGGCGGTCGGGATACCATGGTACGGTACTTACGGGGCGGGGAGTATCAAAGCTCAAGGTGCCGTTCCAGATGAAGGACTGGTCCTCGAGGAACTTCTTGTGGGCCAAGACACAGTCCTTGATGAACCATCCAAGGTCCGAGGCGTTGCCGTTGAACTCCTCGTCGGGGCTGTCCGACTCCCAGGACATATCTCTTTCGAGGCTCATGTCGGAGGCCATTGTTTGTTTTTGCTTGGTGTTTGGTTTGAGTGAAGTTGAGGGGATCAACAACTTTTCCTTTTTCAAAGGAGGGAGGATGGATATCTTGTTGTGTGAGAAAGCGTGCTCAGGTGGCCCTCGTTCAGCCGGGCTCTGGGTCACCAGGTCTTGTCAAGCGCTCACCAGAGATTAGAGCAAGAGCCACTCGTCCTCGTTATGAGCAGTCCCGGTTCCTTTCAGTAAACTGTTGGGCCACATTGTTCTGCCAAGGTGAAGTAAAGTGTAATTCACAAACACGGCTTTCATACTTCCAAGAAGAACTAGTCTAAACATTCAAAGGCTCTATCTCATCATGCGTACATTGATTGAATCAGGCCTGGATCCAGATAGGGGGTATCGAGTCTATAATAAAAACCAGGAAGACACATCTGAGCCCCATGTTTTCCCGACACCCCATGCGTGTCATAATACTTTTCGTGAACTCAGGAATCGAAAGGCCTGCTGGATGAGCAGAAACGCCACACCTTAGTGGCTGTCCTCGTCTCGGCCAGGCCACACGAGCTTCTTCCTGAGGACAGCGCGCGTGCAACAGAAGCCGATGACGAGCCAGACGGCCACCAAGATGATGGTACTCACGTCGGCAAACCACAACAGCCCCTCGCTGCCGAGGGCCTCGCCGATCCGGATCGTTGCGATGGCAAAACCGACGTTGGGGAAGACAAAGCTCCACCAGCTGAGATGAAAGGAGCGGTCTGGCATGCCGATCACGGTAGCCAAGAAGGCTGAGGAGAAGAACCAGAATGACAGACCCCAGAGAAATACGGCGGCGAAGAGGGCCGCGGCGCGGACGGCCAAGGCTACCGTTTCAGGGCTCTCCATATCGGTGAGGTAAGCCTTTGAGCGGAGGGACTCGGGGATGAAGGAGTCGGCCGCGGCAACGAGCCGGGGTACTTGAGCGCCCATCGCTACCAGCGTTGCGGCTGTGAAGCTTGGTGGGCCGACGGCGATGAACATGCCGGGCCGCTGTATTGGAAGGCCAATTGTCATCAGCCGCGAGAGGTAGATGGCGTACATAAAGGCTGAGATGAAGAATCCCAACCCCTGAGCGGCGAGACCCGCGACCATCATGGCGGCGGCTTGGTTCGGCGGCTGTGTAGTGGCGATGAAGGCAGCGAGAGTACCGGACAACATGACGGGGAAGATGGGAAGAATCCACGCCGGCGTCATGTTATCGAGCGAAAGTCTCCTGCGGCCGTTGAAAAGAAGGTGGTACATGCCGACGGAAAGGAAGAAAGTGAGCACGAGGTACAGCCAAAAGCACACCCTCAGGGTAACGATGAGCCAGGGGCCACATTTTGGAACGGCGTAGTGCTGTATGTTGGACAGCGCGGCAGCAATGGAGAGGAAGAAGGTCGGGATAAACAGAAATTCGGAGGGGTTAGTGATGACCATCGCCGGGGTCTTGCGGAACATAGAGAAGCGGAGGCACAGCGCAGCGGTGATGAGAAAAATGAGGACGACGTCGAGGACGAATACGACAATGCCAATCGTGTCGAGCCCTCGGAAGCGGTGGGGGGCCGCGCCGAGGAGAAGGGCGATGCCGCCTGTCGACATACTGATTACGGTGGGGAGCGTTAGCCGGAGGGCCGGGTCAAAGGTGGGTGGAGCAGACAGCGGCCCGGCGCGCGGGACCGGAAAGCCGGACTCACGTGAGAGTGTACCATGCAAAGGTAAAGTGCCGGATGCGATCGCGAACTGAGACCTTTTCGAGGATGGTGTTGGTCCGGGTCCTTGTCCGAGTCAAGGCGGCCACGAGGCCCGTGGGGGATGATGGTTCATCCAAGATTTGGCCCTCGCCATTCGAAGGGGTAGAGGCCTTGGAATTGTCTAGAGAAGGGTGTGAGTAAATGTGCGGACATAAGAGGACAGTTTCTGGTGATACTTACTTGCTTCTTCGTCTACGGGAGCCATGACGATTAATTCGATATTGAACAGACTGAAGTTGTTCGAGTCCCCTCTGAGCGAGCGGACGAGAAGTGATACTCTGTGGTTGGTTTCCAGATGAATCTCTATCCTTCTTCAATGCTCCAAAATTGAGGCGTTGGACGTCACTGCCAGGGTCCGGGGGTTCTGGAATAAATTGAATGAGTTAACCATGGTACGGATAGAGAGAGACAGAGGCCTGCAACAGCGTACGTGAGTCAGCACAACCAGCTGGTGGCACCACAAGCCTCATGAGGCCCACGTTGAGGACTTGGAGAGAGAGTGTGTCGTATGACATAATCTATTTTCAGCCCATGCTTCATTTGCAAGCTACATGTCGATTGTCCAAGGGGATTAGAGGTACGGCGGTCTAAAAACCCGCAATTGGGGGGGGCAGCAGGGCCGAATTGAGACGGGCCGACACGGAGGCGAAAGGCCACTACTGACGGTAAGGCTCCGTTGCATTGGGCCCGCCCAGTGCGTCTGGATTACCGTCCTGTTGGGTAGACGATTATTGCTTTTACCGAGATCATTCTGGCTGAGGAGTAGGTTTGCGTCTCAAACGCATGAGGCTGAGAGCGTGTCGCAGAGATAGTCGGGGCTGACTGCACTCGCTGGTCGTAAATGAATAAGCATCATCTCAGCCATGTCGGACTCTTTAATGCTGTACTATGCATACATAGCATCTAAGCACTGGAATCATGTTAGTTCTTGCGTCGTGCAGCGTCTGGTCAATTAGTTTGGATGTGCGCCGCGTGGGTCGCTAGGGGGTAAAGAGGTATCAAAGGAAGACTCAACGGCGGTTGTATGTTTAAAATTTGGGAAATCCGGTACCGACCACGACGCGATTTGACATGACACGAGAATGTACGGATACCGGACGTACAAATAGGGGACACGTGGGACCCTTGGATCTAGGCGGCATGACGGATGCATGGAAACCCTTCCGGGAGACCATAGTCCGGCTGCTTCTGATTGTGCTCTGGAATGGAGTATGCATGGAACGCGCAAGACGGAGGAGAGAGGATGATTGCGTCCTCCGAGTGCCGCCTTCGGCGAGCTAAAGGGGAAACAAGACGAGACCACCGAGGCGACAAGCATTGACCAGTTGGGTGTCCGTGATAGCCGCGGATGTCCATGTCCAACCTAAACTACCTACACTAGATTAGTGTACCTAGGTAGGTAGTTCATGTCCTGCGGGCGGGCTGCAGACGGGGAGATTCAAGTTGGACCGGGAACGCTCGGCCGCCGGTTACCCCCCACCTATGGGCAGATGTCGACATGTGGTTGTGTGATTAATCAGCAGATGGGCAGGCGGCGACTTGGAAGCAAGCTCAAGAGTCCCCGAGACTGTTGTTGGTCGTATCCGTAGGTAGATGCGACTCAATCGAGATTGCTTGGCGGCGAAACTGTGCTGGACATGGTCGGTGATGCAGATAGCCGACAGACATGTTGGAGCATGTGGTTGGTGTTGGACTTTGATTGCATGGTGCATGATTAGTGGCGCTTACCGTTGGTTGGTGACAGGCGAGAAGGTGGCACGGCAAGGGATGAATACGAGAAGTCAGCGACGATGGGTGTGTTTCTTCTTGGACGATGCGCATGGGATATGGAATTGAATACCTGCTGTTGGTGTTGTAGCGGCATTGGTGATATAAACCGAGAGGCCGTGATGATGGATGCATGGGGGGGCACGATGATAAATGTTAGGCAAAGCTTCTGGAATGTTTTCCGACTTGCAGGTGCACGTGAGTAGATGCCAAAGAGTACCTGCATGAGAGTAGGTAGGTACCTAAGGCCTAAGGTATGGACTAGACCGTCTGGAGAGGGCGGGCGCGGAGGCAAGAAGGAAGGGACGATCAAGAAACGAAACGGGCAAGCAGCAACAACGAAGGAAACAGCGCTGGGACGCAGCTGTCATCAGGCACTCATTGATTGCATTGGCAGGGTAAGCACAGGTACCTAGACACTAGAAGACGTAATCCAAGTTGGAACCTGCCCCGTGCAAGGCTGCCAAGGGGTGCGTATGCGGCTCTGATGTACCCGTACGCTGCTCGTTTGCACTAAGAATACATTCATTCGTTACATGTATTCATTGACTCCTACGTACCTACCTCTACCTACCTACGGATATACAGTACCAGCTCAAAAGTCTTGTTACAGCAATAAAGACAGCCAATAAAAAGCTACAGTAGGTGGTTAGGACATAGGGTCTTTGGTGACGCACTGTGAAGTGACCTCGAGCTATTAATGGGTCCTCTCTTCGACTCTTCTTTGGGTTATCCTTATTGCTGTAACAAGACTTTTGAGCCAGTACTGTAGGCACGCTCCATCTTGAGCTCTTCTCTACCCCGCCTTCCCCATCAAAGACGAGTGTGCCCCTTACCCAGTCCAGCCCAGACCAGGCTGCTGCTCTGCATCATCAAACCCGGAAAGTCCGCTCAAGTGCGGCGGCACCAACACCTTCCAACATCTCTCTTCGCACTGCGCTGCGCTGCGTCCGGTCACACGGCAAGGCAGGCACACAAGTCTCGGCGAGTAAGTCGTCCACGTCCTCTATCCTGTTGCCTCTCCCACTCCTACCTGCCTTATTTATCTTCCCTCCTTGAGGCTTGAGGACCCTTCCCTTCCTACCCACCTACCTACCTTGGGTACCTCCCTACATCAGCATCAGCATCAGCATCAGCATCAGCCGCGCATGCATGCGTCGTATGCCTTTTATTTTGCCGTCTTCCCTTCTGCTACCCGACTTGAAAAACAATTCAAGTGCCATTCAACACATTCAACTTCCCTTTTATCTCTTTTCTCTTCTCTAGAGACATATCCTGCCGCTTCTTTGCCCTTTTTTTTTTGTCTTGTGGCCAAGGTACCAAGCGCGGGTCCTGCGGAGAAGCACAAAAGACTTGGACGTCATCATCAAATTCATTACTCAGCTTCGAGTCTCGGGTACATACTCAATTGACCACCATTGATAGACAGGCATTCAATCCGACAACCTTTACCCATACCAACGAGAAAGAAGGGGCGAAAAAAAAGGACAGGTCCATCCTCGATCCGCAAGACCTATCTCGTCCTCCTCGACCTCCTCTCTGTCGTTCCCTCCTTCCATCGACCCCAATCAATCCATCCTACAACTCGTGCACGCGCCCAAAGTCTCTCTCCCCATTCCCGAATCAACGCACGCCCCGCGACCGACGACACCACCCGCAACCAACGCCCCCGAGCCGCCTGCATTGCGTCTCGGCTGTCGTGTGGGAGCGGGAGCTTGAATCCTGCTGCAACCTGTGCGACCACCCCGACCGTTGATTGCTTCTCCTCCGCTCGGTCGCTCAGTCCAGCGAGTAGTCGCAAACTTCCGACCATCCCAAAACCCCTCGTCTCCGTCTCCGTCTCCGTGTCGTGTCGTGTCGTGTCGTGTCGAGTCGTCTCCGCCGGACGCCATCGCAGCCATTGCAGCCATGGACGAGACACCGGGGCCTCAGCCCTCCAACCACGCCGCCGCCCTGGCCGCCGCCTCCACCGCTCACTTCCTATCGAGCCATTTCGTCTCCGTCGATACAATCTCCAGATCCAACTCCCCCGGCCCTCCCTATACAAAGACCGACGAAGATGACAAGAAGCGGTACCGTCCGCGTACATTTAGCTACTTTAATCACCTACCCTTCCCCGTCGAAGAGGAGTCCCAGCGCGATACCGCCCTGGCCGGCATCTTGAAGCAGCTCTACATCGCCATCAAGGCCGAGGATTTCAGCCCCGGCGCCCTGCACTGGACCAGGGAGCTGACGGGATGGCTAAACCTCAAGTTCGAGATGACGCGCGAGCTTCGCGCTACCCTGGCCAAGCTCTACTACCACCTCTGTCTCGCTCCTGGCCTCGAGCCGAGCACTGCCGACCGCTTCCTGCGCATGGTGGTCATCCTGACGAGGTACGGCCTGCCCACCCAATCTCTTGTTCTGTCCTGTCTCGCCGAACCGCCATTCGCTAACCGTGCCATTCTCGCAGAAAATACCACTACCTGAAACCCGTCGACGACCTACTCCTCGATTGGCGTCCGTTGTGGAGAGAGATCAAGGCCCTGGTTCTGCCGTCAGAGGTCGCTTCACACCAGGCAAACCGTCGCCGCTCTCAGAAGCAGCTGTGGAAGCTGTGTCTCCACGCTCAGACCTATTTCGACCCCAAAGACCGCAAGGAGATGCTCGATGAATTCCTCCCCTTCTTTAGCACATCCGATGTCTCCAATGCCTACATTGTTGTCGGAGCCATCAATGCTCTGCTTCCCACCGATGTCGCCCCCGCATCCGTGCCATGCTCCCAGCCCCAAGACTTTATGCCGACGCTGTTCCACCTCTGGTCTCTCATCGCGAGATCCAAGAGCTTTGACGTCTTCTTCATCGATCTTTACTCCCGTATGGCCCGTGACTTCCTCCAGGCTTCCAATACTCCCTTTGACGCACATGGCATCTTCACACGGGAGCAGTCGGATTGGATATTCACCGCTATCCTTCGCCTGACGGAAATCCCGGTTGGCCAGTCCAACTCGCCATATTCAACCTTGGACTACTCGTCAGGCCTCGGCCTATATCTTGAAAAGGATAAGAAGAAGTACCCAACGGCCTACATGATCGCCAGGTGGATCGTCTACTCACTGTCGCCCAAGTGCTTGGAACAAGAGAGCTCCATTCTAGCCAGCCTCGAGGGCCTACTCGAGGCTATCGACACCTTCTACCACCCCTCCAATGTCGGGTCATGGACGACATTCCTTGGCCAGTTCACCGTCTATCTCACAGATATCTTTGTCTCCCGCTGGAACCGCGAGAACAGCGGCGAGCTGGACACGCCAGAGGACCGCAGGATCACCCCTGCACTCAAGCGCCGCTTTGTGTCTGCGCTCAAGGAGGTTACCTACATGGGCCTGTTCTCCAAGAGCAACAGGGTAGCTCATTACTACTATGCATCGCTCCAAGGGCTAGCCTACCTGGAACCTAACCTGATCTTGCCCGGGGCTCTGCAGCGCTTCTACCCTAGTTTGCAGGGTCTCGTCGAAGTCCACCGCACCACGTCAAGTCTGAACGGCTTGCAGATGATTGCCAACGTCATGTCCAAGACCAAGGGGTTCCGCTGTCACATCACCGCTCTTCTTGCCCTTGCTCTTCCTGGTATCGACGCCAACGATCTGGGGAAGACGCAGTACACCCTCAATTTCATCCAGAGCGTGGCCTACAGCATCCCAATGGTGCCTCTAACCAAGGACAGCGACTCCGTTCACGGCACCGCCTTGGCGATGGAGTGGGTGCAAGGCGAGATGGAACGCATGGAGCGTGAGGGTCAAGACATCAAGCTTGATTACGACAGTGAACTCTCGGACGAGGACGAGGCAAACATTCTCAGATCTTCAACAGCAGGACTTGGCGAGTTTGTTATCGCTTTCCTCGGCAAGGTCTTCACCCTCTTGGAGAACTTGCCCGACGCGTCCCACATCAGGGGAGGTACACCAGAGGACAACGTCATCAATGCGCTGCCGGCAGCCCTGTCTCCCCTCTTCGCTTCGCTTTCGCCAGAGCTCTTCGACACGGCCCTCGAGAAGCTCTCGTCCTTCGTGTCCACCCACGTTGTGCACCAGGCGAGAGACGCAATGGCATGGATCCTCAACGCCCTGTGCAAGGTCAACCCCGAAAAGACCCTCAAGGTCTTCATCCCCATGCTGATTGTCAACATCCGTAACGAAATTGACTTCAACCATGCCGCGTCAGACCGGAGTAGCGGCACCGACTACCTGCCCAGGGACCGCGCACTTGTGTGGCACGTGAGCATGCTCGGCATGGCAGTCGTGCATGTCGGCAACGAAGTCTTGAAATACCAGACGGAGCTTCACGACATCGCCAAATATATGCAGGAGAAGTGCCGTGGCTTACCCACCATCCACATTTCCAACTACATCCACCACCTCCTGCTGAACCTGACGCACACATACCCCATCGACACTGCATTGTACGAGCCCGACGTCATCAAGCGCGGACTCGACGTCACCGATTGGGGGAAGACAACGTCTCCTGCTGACTTGACTATCAAGTGGCATCGGCCGTCCGCGGGCGAGGTACAGTTCGCCGTAGAACTCTTCGATTCACAGACCAAGGCGGCGGCGCGGAAACTGGACTTGCTCATGAGCGAGAACCCCCCCGTCAGTCGGAAAGGAAAGAACAAGGAATGGTCTGACGAGGTCTCGAGACTATTCCAACAGATAAGGCTTGTCATATCTGGAATGGCAACGTTGTTCGACCCTCATCGTGCTTCCGGACAGAGCCCGAACGGGAACACTGGCGTCGACGGCGATGGCGACACCGCGATGGACGATGACCCCCTCGCGGAGGCCGCCGAAGACGAGGAAACGCGTCCTCAATACCGCTATGACGCCGGTTACCTTTTGACCGACGAAGATCCTGCGTACCACAAGCTGCACGAGCTGAGGGAAGATGTCGGACGGCTCCTGTGCCGAAGTCACGAGTTTCTCAACCAACAACAGGAAGACGACGTGTCCTGCTTCACGGCGCTCTACGCGGCCTACAGGACATGGATCACCGACGTCGGCATTGAGCGGTCCGCCCACCCGCTGGAGAGACATCTACGCCTTTACAAGTCGGACATCTCTGCTTTCAAGATTAGCGGCCTTCGCAAAGTTTACCCGCGACCACTCCTGATCAAACGTGCGGATGCGTATCAACTGCTTCGTGTTAAACACAACGCTTCGGCACGGCAGAAGAGCGAGTTGGACAAGCAGCTCCTTCTCAACCTGGCTCAGTCGTCCGTGTCCCCGTACGCCGATGTCCGTCGAGTTGCCCAGAATGCCCTTGATTCCTCGCTCAAAGCTCTCATTGGCGGCCGGCCCCTGGTCATCCCCATCCTCCTCGAGAGACTCCGGGTGGCGCTGGACGAGGTGGACCATGATCGTATCAAGGGTGCCATGTACACTCTGTTCTTCACCAGCTTGCTCAAAACCATGATTAGGGACTGGAGATTTGCCCCGGATGCCCTCCGCCTTTACCTCCGAGCGGGTACCATTGACAAGCCCAGCATTCAACAGCTTGGTGCAACGGCACTCTTCCCTCTGCTTGACTTTGGAAAGCCTTTCGAGCGGATGATCATCGTGAACCAAGACTTTGTGGAGCCGATCCGCCCAACTGACGACTGCTCCCAAGCCATCAGCAGCCGCCACAACTTCATCGTCCAGAGGCGGGAACGCGTTGAGAAGAAGAAGGCTGCTCTCGGATTGGAGTTGACAGGGATGGCGAAGGCCGCACATTGGAAGATAGCTTCCCGATGCGCCATCTTCGCCAGCAATATGTGTCTGCGGTTCGACACCCTGGCACCCCCGGAGTTTATTGCTCTGGTGACACAAGGCACGAACGACACCCATCCTGGGCTACGTGCGAGTTACATGTCCGCGTTCACATCCGTCTTCGAAGCCGTGGAGATGCGCGCCGCTTATGATCACGAGTACCGCAATTACTTGTTGGAGAAGGAGAAGGATCGTAATAAGATTACGATTGAGGTCCCCAAGGGGGATGCAGCCTTCACGCAGAAGTACCTAGATGCGTTTGCCAGCCCCGAGAATGCCGAGTACATGGTTGATTCCGACCATCCCGGTTGGTTGGTCTGGGGCAAGAAGTTCCTTGCCTCGCGAGCGAAACCCATACCCTTCACTGACTACGACGAGACGGAGACGGCAGTCAGAAAACAGATTGGTGACATGATTACAAGAGAGTGGCTGAAGACTTGTTTCGACTACCTCAAGCAAGAGCCCCGCGACGCGAACGCAGACAGGTTCCGCATGGGCAACGTGTACATGCTCATGCACGTATTTGATCTGATGCACTATGGCGGCACAGCGATCAAGCTAGACGACGTCAAGGAGTTGACCATGGAGGTGTACGGCGACGGCAGCGACAAGCACCAGCATCGTGCCACAGCGGAGATTGTGGCGGCGCTCTTGTGCGGCTCCAGCGATGATCCTCCCGAATACCGCAACCAAGTCTGGGGTTTCGCTGCGCCCCTGATGCTGAAGGTTCTCAACGAAGACCTCACACCCGAGAACTTGCAGTACTGGGTATCTTGCCTGCATCTGACCGTAGATCCCAAGGACCCTCGCCGGTCCCACGAGCTGGTCAATACTCTGAGCGCCTTCAGGCTCGACATGTCCTCCAACGCCGCCTTTAAGGAGTCGAGCAAGGTTCAGGTGTTGGAATTCATCATCACCGATTCGGGTTGGCACTTCCGCCACGAGAAGCCGATCCTCGCAGACTTCCTCTCGCACATTGACCACCCATACAAGACCGTCAGAGAGGCAATGGGTCGAGTCATTGCCACCATATACCGCACACGCTACCATGAATCCTTTGAGAACGTTGACAAGCTTTTGGAAGCCAACAAGTCTGCATCGTCTCTCGGCATTCGTCCTTACGAACCTACCAAGGAGTTCTCGGACACGGTGCTTGAAGTCTTTAACCGTCTGGAGAAGTGGCGTCATGAGCGCACTCCAGGCCAGCAAACGCCTTCCTCTTACACAAGTGGCTCCAAGACTGTCTTGACTTGGCTCGACAGCACACTGTCGTCCCAGGAGTGCACGCAGCTGATGCCGTTCTTCCCCGACCCCTTCATGGAACAACTGCTCCACATGATGGATGTCAAGGAAGACCCCGAGTTGATGCGCCTCGCCTATCACGTCTATCGCCATCTGCCCAACATCCCTTTCCGCATTGGCGAAGATGGCCTCTTCATCGACGCCCTGGTCCGTATTGGCAAGTCCGCCACGAGCTGGCACCAACGTCTGCGATCCATGGTCAATATGCAGGTGATTTACTTCCGTCGTCTTTTCCTTATCGAGAAGAAGCAGCGGGAGATCTTGTTCAATGCCGTCAGCGACATGCTTGCGGACACGCAGCTCGAGGTTCGGTCTTGTGCGTCAGCTACCTTGGCCGGCATGATTCGATGCTCACCAAAGCGGATCCGTGACCCAATGATTCAGACCCTCAAAAAGCGCTTCGAAGACAGTCTCCGCCTCAACCCAATGCCCAAGCGCAAGCTCCCCGGTACCGAGACGCCAATAGACACAAACAAGCAGATCGTGCGTCGTCATGCCGCCGTCCTGGGCTTGGGTGCTCTCATTGAGGCATTCCCCTACGCCACACCCCCTCCGTCTTGGATGCCCGAGGTCCTCCAGATCTTGGCCACACGCGCCGCTAGCGACCCCGGCGTGGTTGGCAAGGCCACCAAGGCTATCCTCTCCGACTTCAAAAAGACAAGACAAGACAGTTGGAGTGTCGATCAAAAGGTACGTTGCTATTACCCCCGCTCTCACTTTGCGCTCCTGTATTCCCTTCTTAAAACTCGTCTTCTTAAAATTTGTTAGAAACTAACATTTCTTGTAGTACTTTACACCAGAGCAGCTGGAGGATTTGGAGGGTGTTTTGTGGAAGAGTTATTTCGCGTAAGCGGCGCAACGGACTTGTTGCGTAGGGAATACGCATATGACAATTGGACAGTCATATAAGGAACGGAGATGGTATGATATCCATTATGGGACATGGGGCTACATGGCTCTGATAGACGGGGAGCACTTGCATAAACATTGCGCCATGAGCTAGTATTTGTAGCTCACTATTCTCATTCACCGCTCCTGTTAACAATCCCGTGACATGCTTGGCATGGCATCTGCTTGTTGCCGCGTTGATCAGCATATTTGTTGTCCCAGACTTAGGCTTGCCGCACAGTTGCAGTCATTTATTTATTGGAAGGCTCTGATAATGCTATTGAAAGTATACGTTAGACTACAGGCTCACAGACCAAAAGCCTGGCGTCGGAATGGACATCAATCCTCAGACACCATTACGGAGGCTGGGTCGATCATATAACTTCAAGCTCCCCCTTCACGGCCAGTCCATCAGATGTTGTGATGGGTAGACGGCATGAACTGGGCTACAGTGGACGCAGAAGTGTCTTATGCAGCTAATCAACGCCCTTTAGCTGGTCTGAATTGATTGGGCAGTTGTTTCGGCTCCCGGTTTGAAAGACTCCACCGCGTTTGGATTTATCCGAGCCCGAGTTGAGGTATTGAAATGTTATCATCATACGGATACTGGTACAACCAAGGCATCACAGACCGGCCAGTATAAAGGCCCAAAGAGCCAAATATAGAGGAGGAATAGGCATAATGCATGCAGTTGTTTCTGTGAAGAAACAGGCAGCGTGCAGGATATGGGTGGTGAGAGTGATTAACAGTCAAACAATCTGTTCCATTATCGAGAACTAGGTCAGGCCGTATAATATGCAACCGGTGAGAAGTTTTCTATAGAAATATAGACAGCACATAAAATCCCTCCCAAAATCAGGTCGTTACAGTGTAGGTAATAAAGTATACTTGTTAGGATCTTTACTCACCCTCCGCCCCTTGTCACAACAGGATAGATGCATGTCCCTTATCATTGATTTTAATAGCTATGGGAATGCCCGCTACATTTGGAATCCATACAGCCTGACCGAACGCAGTCCAGGCAAAGCCCGATACTCTTCTCAAACATATCCAGACTTCGACCACGGTCTCTCCTGCATGCTGGCGCGGTGTGCTTGTACGCATAGGTACACGTGGTACTTGATTCCTTGGGAATCGGCTCAGGCATCCTCTCTGCTGACTCTAGTGCCTTGGAGATTGAGATGCGGTGTAAGTGTACTGGCCAGAGAGCCTCTCTTTGCAACAGATTTATATATGCATATGCATATTTGCTTGTCCATCCACACCTGTGAACACACATCCCAGTCCCATCGTTTACTCCCGATATGAGAATTTCCGCTAGCTTCATCCTTGCCGACTCTCTCTGCTCTTGCAGCAGACCTTTCCGGTTGCCCGTCAGTTATATGTCCAAACAGGTCATCGGAGTGCTTACAGAAGACCCTCCACGTCATGGCAGATATAACTTCTTCGCATGAGAGAGCAAGATAAGGACCATCGTAGTCAATTATCAATGCTCTCGTGATCTCTTTGAACGCCTTTGCATTCTGGAATAGATATGCCGCAGCAGTGAGAAGTATTAGATTGCCTGCTTTGTCTCTAGAGGATTGAAGCTAAGTTTTGCTGGCAAATTGCAGGGCATAAACAAAATTATACTTGTCTGCGGTGACGGTAACTGCGAGTATATTGCTTGTGGCGAGAGTGTGAGGTATGTCCCTGTTCTGGTGGTGAATGATACAACAGATAATACCTAACATATCTGTATTGTCTTCTGATAAATATATCTCGGCTGGCCTATCGGAATCTAGTAAAGCACAGCCTTCCTTCTAGTCTGACCCGCACATAGCGAAGAAGGGTTTCGAGGCAGCTTTTAACAACATAGAATGAACATGAAGCTTTGCCTCTTCAGGCCCAACTATCAGCATAAGATCGCCATCTGGAGCAATTGCGACAACGGTGTTTGTCTGGGCGACACTTGAATTTTCCATGCTGCTTGAAAAATGTCTGCTGCTGTTGCGTAAAGGCGTCTGTTCAAGGGTGTGCTCGGCAGCGGCCCAAAATCAGTGATTATTAGACAGGAGGGACTTTCTTATATGAGTGTACTTATGCCACCCCAACTTTATGAACGTCGTACCGCCGAAGTGGGTAACTCTCCATCCCACCTTACTGCGCGACCCCGCTTTCTACGCGAGGTATAAAACACTACCATCGTCATCACCACCTAGGTTTGAACTATCACACAATTGTCTATTCTCCACCAAACAACCTCGTCCTTTCAGGATATCAAATCTATCTGTCAGGATATTCAACTGTTCAATAGTGGAGCCGATCCATAGTCACGTGATTTACCATCACGTGACTCACCCCAGCAGCTTACTTACACCACTACAAATACCTACAGCAGCAACCTCTTCTCTTTTCCTTTATTATTATCTTCACCTAGCTACTAATAGTTAATTAATACTATTATAGCTACCTTAATTATAATCCCTATAATACTAACACTAATTAGTAGTTAACTTTATAGTTACTACTACTATAGATTAGTAAGGATTATTAGAAGAGGCTATAATACTTTACTTACTATAGCAGCTTAAATTAAAGTATTAAAGTGCTACCTAGCCTAAAGATTATTAGTACCTAGGATCTTATAATACTTAGTAAATAACCCTTTAAGCCCTATGTCTGCTACGTAATAACTACTATTACTACTATTAACTTTATTACTTTTAGAGAAGTCTTTTCCTTTATATACTACTTACTTACTAATAACCTTTATAGTATTTAGTATAATTATCTTCTTTTTATACCTAAGTTTTTTTAAGTTCTTTTTCTTTTTATCCTTTAACTTTTTTTTCCTCTAATTATTAAGATTTTTATCCTACTAAGTTTTTATCTTACTATAGTAGTAACAGCCTATATAAGATTATAAGTAAATAGACTTCTATAAGTTTTTATCTAAATAAGATCTTACTAGTAAGACTAGCTATAAAGTAGTTAAGTAAGAACTACCTAAGTAATTTACTTTTAATATAGTATTTATAAATAAATAGCTTTTACTAACCTTACCTCTATACACTTCTAATATTATGTTATTAGCTAGGCGCAGCCTATAGTAATTATAACTCCTTTTCTTAACTAGATAGTTAGTAGCTAATTATTACCCTTAGTAAGTACGCCTCTTTTTGTTCTTAAAGTAAGGTAAAGAAGGTAGAGGTTACCTATATTACCTTAATTTACTTACTTTTTTTTATCCTTTAAATACCTATTAATAACTACACTATCCTCCTTATTTTCTCTTTTTCTTTAAGTAAGGTATAGTTATTAGTAACTAATATAACTTTTACTTAACTTTACTATCTTAATTAATCTAAAAAGACTACCTATTATTTACCCTTAAGTAAGGTATATAACCTTAACTCCTTACCCTTCTTCCTTTAAAAATCTTTAACTATAGTATCCTATTTACTAAAAGGTAAGGTCTACATATATCTCCTTTTAGAGGTAGCGTATGTCTTCTTTTATTCTTTAAGTAAGATCTACTATAAGGCCTCCCTAAAGCTATCTCTTTATGTTACTAAAGTATAAGGCCTCCCTAGAGCTATTTACTACTATCTATTTATCTATTATTTTATCCCTTTATTTACCTTATCTCTTACCTATACCTCCTTATATTATATTATTTATCTACTTATCTTATTATTATTTATACTAATAGTAGTAATTCCTCTAACGTATAGATTTACCTCTAACCTTATAGGTAAGAAGTAAGTACCTATAATTAAGAGGTTAGTAAGGCTAATAGAGGGTAATAATAGTAGAGAAAGGACTAAGTAAAAGGTAAAGTAAACTACAGGCGCTAGCTAGGGTAAAGGAGTATATCTATTTATAAGATATTAAGGATCTATATCTTATTCTAAAGCGCAGCTAGCCCTTTATTATTATATAACTATAGGGTATAACTAATTTAGCTAATATTTCTAATAGCCTTACCTAAGTTAAGTAATATAACGCCTTAAGCACTATTATTATACTTTAAATAATATAATATAGCTTTATATAGCTATATAGTTAATAACTATAAAGATACGCTACTAAAGACTTTAAAGAATAGTTACTTAATACCTTTAAAGGTACTACCTATAAAACTATTATTAAATTTAAAGACTACCTAATATATAGGGGTATATAGGTATTAATAGTAAAGTTACTAACTATTACTAAATAAATCTACTATACCCTTAAGGCTAATAATCTAAAGGTATAGATACTTAAAGACATTAAAGAAGAGAAGAAAAGGAGTAAGGATTTTTACTTAAAGATTAATAAACCTAACTTTATATAAGATATTATAGACCTACTACTAGAAATAATATTAACATAAGATTAACTAGGCCCCTCTTATATTATTACCCCCTTAGTATAAGTCGCTTAAGTCTAAAAAGGTTAATAAAGGCCTATTAATCTAGCCTTATTATATAATAACCTAAATTTTATTCCTTTACTATTTAAGTAGGTAAGTAACGCTTGCCTTTACCTATTAGTTACACTAGTTACTACTACTTTACTTATAACTTACTAGCTTACTAACCTTATTAAATTATACCCTAATAAGATAAAGTATAGTAGAGGGGTATATAAGTTACTTAAATTAAAGCTTATAATCTTTTATAACTACTACATAAAGGCTAGGATCTAGTAAGAGCACTTTATAAGCGCCTTTTTTATTATACTTAAAGGCAAGGCCGTAAAGTACTATACTAACTATCTCTATAACTAGACTAACTTTATAACTATAGTAATATAAATAAGGGGTAATTTTAAGAATAAAGAGACCTTTTAGGCCTGCCTTACTAAGCTATAAAGGACTAATTTAATAAGGACTATCTTAAATAATTTAGACAAAAGTAAGGCTAAATACCTAAAGTTACTTATTAAGAGAGTAACTACCCTTATAAGAATAGTTATAAGGATTAGTACCCTATC